ATATAGATTGATCTGTGCAAAGTAGCAGCTATTTTTCTGAAAAGTCATCCTTTTAGTATTGCATTAAGATAGCAAGTCAAAAAACTATCCAAAAACTCAGTGTAGCATACAAGTTAACACCATGTTTGTCGTGCCCTCCAACAGGCAGCGATACAAAATCCCATATGCCATAAGAGGAGACCACTCACCACCTCTCTGGTGTGGGATACAGTGTGTGTGTTGGTCATCCAGGGCACCACAGTGGAGAGGAGCTGGAAGCAAGATTGCGTTTGGGGTAAGAGGAGCAGGATAGCACGGGTGAATAATACCAATTGTAGGAAATATATGGGGAGGAAGGTCTTCCTAAAGGAGCAAAAAGGCCCAGGGATGGCAGTGGGCTGTTCGTTTTAGACAAAATGAGTACCTAGGCCAGGATACATGGTGTACAGCTGAATTTCCTGACCATTTTTATTCCCATTTCCCAGCTGTGCCATCACAAGTGATGACAGGTAGGTCTAAGGCTCAGCCCCTCATGACCAAAAACAAACTACAGGAACTACTACCACTTAAGTTTCTGCATGCCTGATGCCTTCTGGCTTTTCGGTGGCTGCATTAAGTCATGTTAGGGCTGTGGCTGGAGGCCTGAGGATTCCAGTACCAGGTTATGAAATGAGTAACCCTAACCCGAACTTAAAATAGGATATTGCTGATGTATCAATTCTATCAAACTTGTTCTCTGAAGCATGTCTTGAAACTTGTAATGCTCCTTTAGGATAAACCGTTAATTAATGTCTCATTTGCACAAAGCCACAGTCTCTTTCTACTTGGTTAGTACATTAGTCAGGATTAAGCCCGTATTCTTTGCTAGTGCTTAAAAGCTAGCCTCTGACAGAGACTTAAAGGATGTTTCATACAATTAAAGGGACATAATTGAACTTGTCATTTTCAGTATTTGAGCTTAGCTCTGAACTAAAGTGCAACTGAAAAATATATACAAAACCTGAAATCATCAGGGCTTTGCAATACCTAGCTTTAAAGATCTTTCATGATTATCTTAAACACAACAACCCAGAAGGAGAATTTTTTTTTCTTTAATAAAGGATTTATGAAGCTGAAGGGAAAAAAAGGGGGGGGAGGGAGCAAAAAAAACCCCAACTTCTCTCTCTGAAAATTAGACAGCCAACTGTCAAGGCTGATTTTTTGAAGTCTACTGCATAAACTTTTCTAACTCCCTACTTAGTATTAGCTAAACCATAACTCAGTTAGATATCCTAAACCATTCATCTGGCTTGAGTTATTCCTATAGCTGGGACAAGGAAACATCAAATTCATAGCTGGGACAAAGAAACATCAAATTCATACAGAGGCATTAAGTGAAATACTTCTCCAATTGATAAGATGTGCACAAAATGTTTCCAGTCCTGTAAGTCAGTTTTATTTAAAAAATAGAGTCCAAACATTGTTTTTCAATAAGGTGCAACATATGTACTGTTTTCTACAATAAAAACCAAAAAAGCCAGATGAAAACAGAGCAATACTGTATTCATATTCTCATTCCAAGATGGAGTCAGTGGGTCTCCTGTAATTCTTAAACATTTTTTTTTCTGCTTCATCAAGGCATAAGTATTAATCAGTATTACTGCAACAGCCAAAGGGTCTGGCTCTGGCTAGTATAATCTGTACTTTTACAATCAACTTTCTGGTACAGATTGCTTCAAATACACATCAGAAGCTGAATGCAACAGAACATAGTTCATGCAAAACAAAGGTACAACACTGAACTTGCATCATTCAAAGATTTTTATTTTCTTGTTTAGCCTGACATCTTTGAAGTCCAACTGCTTGAATATGAGGATTGAGCTGAGGTTGCATAAAGTGAGCACTGTATACTGAAGTACTTACGTAACTCTAAGATTGATCAGGCTACGTGACTATCTTGAGCTCTACAAATTCAAATAAATACTTAAGGCTGAGATCTATGTCTCCTGGAGTCTAGTCAGCAACTTCTGAGACATATTTGGGAATACAGATGGAAAAAAGTGACTGATAATGGGCTTGTTATGTGGAAATACATTGAATCATTACATCATAACTGCATTTTCTGAGAAAAGCATGTTATTAATTTGTATTAGGAGTGTTCCCTATTCAGATACTCATACTAAGAGCAATGAAGACTGTAGTATGGAGGAGGATTTCTAATTAGCAAAGTCTGTCCAGTTTCAAAGCCCTCCGAAGTCATTCTAGCATCACCTCAGCCTTGATAATGCTGAGCAGCTGAAGTTAGCAATGACTATGCCATTTCTGGAAATCAAAATATCTGTCCCTGCTCTAAAGGGGCCAAATGTATTTTGAACAGACGTTGGAACAAGGAGCAGTATTATACATCCAAAGCTTTTTTCCTTGACCCATTAGATACTTAAACCATTCCATCTAAAGAGGAATTCAATTGATAGAAAAGAGCTGTACACCCATTTACCTGCCTTCTGCTTGGGTAGTAGTCCCAGGGTCAAACTGCACCCACAGTAAGTGCATAAATCTCAATTCCTTCTGTTGTTTCTTACAAACCACTATGATGGGTTTATGGATCCTGTTCTTATGCCCTGAGGGCTCCTCATATACAGTCTAATGAGACAAGGCAACAGGCTATCACAGGGTTGAATGTTGGTTTTAGTGGATGTCTGGGTGTTAATGGGAATTAGCCACACAATTTTATGCCTATGCATAGCCACAAGCTGAGCTTAAGCTGATAACTCAAGTAAATGCCAAAGCAAGTTTGTATTCAGGGCCTGTTTAGCCTCATTTAAGGGACTCCATGTCTTTTTCTCTGGAAATGACAATTTTTTTCAGTGTTGATGAAACATCCTGGCTCCTGTTAGCAAACTTTGCTCTCAGTACTGTGAATGCTCTTCAGAATTAGCTCTGCTATGGACTACATTTTAATGCCACATGGACTGAAATTTTCTTCGCTAACAGAGAAGGCTTTAGACCACTCCTTTCTCCTAACACATAGGAAGCCTTGAGTTTGACTTCAAACAGCAGATGAATTAACTTCCCAATTTACCTCTCTTGGCTTATGAGCAAAAGAGGCATTTAGAAGCATTCAAGTGGGAAGATTACACCCTCTTGTTTCCTATGTAAACATAAAGGAAGATTGAGAAGTGTTTATCAAACATGGATGTCTTAACATCAAGATCTAGAAAAGTGAAAAGTAGAACAGAGTTTCCGCTTTAATTTCAGAACAAGACTGCTCTAAAAGACTGATATTTATAACAATTAAATCTAAAGATTGCTATTTATCTCAGCCTAAATCCCTTAGATTTTAACGGTTCTGGGTAGAAACTGACATTTGTACTAAGTCCTCCTTAGGTTTAGATGTGGAAATGGATTGATTTTATTTCATGATGGCATCTCTGTTCAAATGAGTAAATCCAATGTTTATGAGATTGATTGTTGACTAGGTTGGTTTTTACAAGTTTGAATGATGACAGCTTCAAGAAAAATATAAGAAACAATAATATTTTGTTGCATTTCCTATTTTCAGAAGCAAAAGGTTGCTTAGTTCTGTAGTTTACATAGTTTTAACAATATCCCTCTAGTAATACATTGTACTGCAGATGTTTAGTTAACAAAAAGTATACACTGAAATATTATGGGCTTTGGCCAGAGCTATGTATATTTATGTCAGTCTGTTGTGAACACTATTGTTCAATGGAGTACTTAGCAGATTAAAATTATCCCTTTACTTCCGTTTCTTTTACTTAAACAATTTGGGCCATACTTTGTGTGAATGCAGTGGGACATGCCAGAAGGAAGCAGGGTTACTGGAGATAAGACATGGAATTTGCAACATGCACCTTCAAACATCTAACTTAGGCTACACCTGGCTAGGTCTCAGTTCAGGCACACAGTTATCACGCACATTGCCTACAAGTTAGATCAACAGTCCGGAGTAAGAAACAGGCTCTTCTGGCATGAGAGGTCTCCACTCGTCTCTTTCCATGAAGACCATCTGGATGCAATGGACGTGAGTTACCAGTATCTGTACGGATTTGAATAAAAATAACAGAAGTCATAGATGTCTAAATGAAGGGACCAGACTCAGAGGGTCTGGAGGGGATTCAGGGCACGTAAGTTAAGATGCAACCTCTCTCCAAGCTTTAAGCTTATAAAGCAGACACTGGGCAGCGTTGATTATGTGTTACTGAGAATATTGGTATTCTGTTAGTGATAGCAGTGTTGACCAAAGTGCTAGTGTATTAACACAGAAAACGCTGGTTCTGTGCATCTCACATAGAACCTGAACAAGGGTTTAGGGCAATTTACCATTTTTACCTGAATGACTTGGAGGTTCCTACCATGGGCTGTTAAATCTTGTGTTCTTGGTGCAAACAGATCAGCAGTTAAAGCCTTGCTGTTGTCGTTTGAATTCTCGGGCCCTTTGATCTTATCCAGCAGTAGTGTTATGGGGAGGGCTTCCATAGTCCTGTGACTGGCAGATGCATAAAAAGTAGATCTGCTACAGAGTAACTTAAATTAACTTCAGCAATCGCTTGGAAGGTGCAGACAAATGCCAAGAAACAGTGGTGACAAAAAGGGAATAAATGGAGAATGAGGAATCAATGCAGAACTTCATTAGTCTGTGAAAAATGATGATGTACACAAGGGGAGACAGATGGGAGATCTCATGTCTTGTCATTAACATTGATGAGAGATGGATGCCAGTCTCCCTTTAGTGCCTTTGAAAATTCCTCCACGGGTGTCTATGGTTTTTCCTGTTGCCACAGCAAACCACATAATACTAAATATTGCATAGAGAAATAATAAATCCTTACAAATAAGTCACATTTCAATGTTAATAAAGGGAGGTTGATTGACATAAATGCTAAACTGTATAAAATTCAAAGGACTAAAGCAGGGAGCAGGGGGCACTGCATTTTAAAGTGAATTGAAGTGTGCTTTTGGTCCTTTACCGCCAGTCTCGAGTCACTTAACTTTTACAAAAATAAATGAAGATGACAAAATTTTTCATTTTAAAATATGACATTTTTGTCCCTCACAAAAATGGTATAATTCAGTAGCATATAAATAGCCATGACTTCAGTAACAAAACAGAGACTGCTTGTATACACTCTTTAGTTTGGAACACAGATCTTTATATCTCTTACATAGCTTATACATAGACAATGTCTTGCAAGTCTTCACACCTGCCTCAAGAGTTACTCTGAACACTGATGCATCCCACTGGTGCTCCTGGCTCTTTGTCTCTAAGCACCACATCACTTACTGACACCCACCAACGCTCCAATTGAGCTGTTGGGAATCTCATTAACAAAATACAGCTTGATGTCTGCAGCTGTTCAGAGTTTCTAAACTGCCTTCCTCATTAAATAAGTGCCATCCTGCATACGCTCCCTCTGTCAGAGGCATATTGGGCCATTCTTCATACACATTACATTTTCTCTTCAAACAAAACGTAACACCAAACATAGCCTTTGTGTTAATCTAGACGGGATTCCTTTGGGGTTACTTTCTTCTTCCCTTACCAGTCTAGTTAAACATGATAGATTCAGGGTCCTGGTTTGCCATTTGAGCCATATGTCTTAATACATCCTTTTTAGTTATGATACCCAGCAGCCTCCTAGAAGAGAAAAGGAAAGGAGAGGTCAACAATCATCTCATATATCATCCCCCCCTGCTTTTTTTTTTTTTTCCTGTTCAAGTGCAGGGACATTTTGTAAGAGCTTCCATATAGCACTGTCCGTCTCATCCATTCCCCAGTGATTATCTTTTATAAAATACATTCTCACCTCATGTATTTTTATACCAGTCATGATCATTAAGTGAAATACTTCAGGTTGTTACCTTTTTCTTATTGGGAACATGACTGAGTGAGGAGCTACAACTACTGACACTTTGTACCACAAAATAATGAGTTTCCTTAGGCACAGTCTGCAGAGGACTAACAGCACAAAACCAAGGCACCAGTGCCCTGAGCTAGGGCATGGGGTTTAGTAACACATGAGCTAAGATAAAGCACAGGCTTACTTTCATAAACTCTCTCTGTCTGGCAGCGTAATTCCTTCAAATCTGAGTGATAATTTCTCATTTATGTGAACCCAAATGAATTACATATATATATATCTGTCAAGAAAAATAAGGCCTGTGGGATGTCTAGCCCCAAGAGTCAAAAATTCCCTAAGCTCCAGCATGCAAGGGCTTTCATTTCCAGTCTTTGAAGGCCACAAGGCACTAAATTTTACAACTATGCAATACTTATATTTTTTTCCACCTTTCATTTCATGAAAGTGCTAGAACTCAAGATCAAAATTTCCAAATCCAGGCACCTGGAATCAGCACCAACCTGTGTCCTGAAAATGGCACCTATCTTCTTAATACTGAGGACACTGCATCGACAGTAACAGCTGATATGCAGTATTTTTGAGTAAAATTTTTTTTAAAAGGGGGCTTTTTTCAGAAGACTGAATTTAAAAATTTTTGCGCTGTTTTTCCTATTCTGCTGTAAAGTTTCTTCTTACTACTAGATCCTGGGATGAGCAATGATCCCAAAATAGCTCATATCCCACTGGAATAATGGGGTGTCATTTCTGGTGCTCACAGAGCAGCTTTTTACTCTCCTAACTTTATGATTGCCCTCACTTCTTCAGCTGGTTTTTGTGGATATTCGGCTCATATGCTTTTCCAGTTTCCATTGAAGAAAGATGAACAGATCAATTTTCTTCCACTGACATCATTATCACAGTCTTCACAAGCATCTAATCTAGAAATTTGTGTTCAGAAACATACACATTCTTTGCAAACAATGCTACTTACAAGATCTGCCTCTGTTAAAAACTCAACAATAGTGGAAGCCAAAACAATTTCTTTTGTATTTTTCATTACCTTATCTGAATGACAATACACTAAGGATTTTGGAGAAATAATCATAATGAAACGTAACACCCAGCAAGTGCTATTTTGCTTCTGAATCTGACTTCTTTCACTGTCCTGGAGAGACATTGGGTGAGCTTCCCTTATCCTTCTAGTCACAAAACAGACAAAATCAAAATAGTCACTTGACTGTCTCAAAGGTGACAGTTAATTAGCTACTGCCTATACTTGGCCTTAACCAGGAAAAACAGTGGGTTTAGAATCACAGAATCAGCTAGGTTGGAAAAGACCTTTAAGATCAAGTCCAAACTTTACCCCAGTATTGCCAAGTTCATCACTAAAACAGGTCACTAAGCACCTCATCTACACAGTTTTTGAACTCTTCCAGGGACAGTGATTCCACCACTTCCCTTGGAGGCCTGTTCCAATGCCTGAGCACCCTCTCTATGAAGAAATTTTTTCCTAATATCCAATCTAAACCTCACCTTGAGGCCATTTCCTCTTGTCCTATCACTTATAACTTAGGAGATAGCCACCTCCTCGCTCCATCCTTCCTTCAGGTAGTTGTAGACAGCAATAAGGTCCTCCCTGAGCCTTCTCTGCTTCAGACTAAAAAACGCCAATTCCCTCAGTTGTTCCTCATAAGTCTTGTGCTAAGAAAATCTCCCCACATTCTCAGCATGCTTGACTCAGCACCTACTCACCCACTGCGAGTGACAAGACACTGCCGGAGCCCGAGTTTCCGGAAAATATCTACCACTGTCTCCATTGGTGTGTGGTCAGTGACAGTGAAAGGGCTCAGGTTGAGAATACGCCGGAGCTTCAGTGGATGGGGACTGTTGGGTGGCAGTTCGGGGGGGTCTTCAGTGAAGTACACAATGGAGTTGCTCACCACCCCATCCTGACGCTGTCTTGCATTCTCTGTACAATAGAAAGTTCAAGGCAGAGAGTAAGTTAGGTTTGATAACAAAACAAAAAAATACCCTCCTTTGGAAAGCAAAGGGGGTAGATGCTTTTTGTCTTTAATGTATTGAGATCCCAAAAGTTTGGGTTACTCAGCAAACTTGAGTTTCCTTGAGACATTGTACCCTTGAAGCAATCATGAGTGATATTTTTACAAACACATACTTTTTCTTGTTTAGGATAATATTTTTCTGAATAAACATGCAGCTCATTGCATTCACAAACATTACTAATCCAGTTTCTATCAAACACAAATGATTATAATGTCATTTCCTCCATTGTGAGAATCACAACAGAAGCTTCTATTATATGCCTGAAGGAATGGAGTCAGCAGCTGTGTATGGTCCCAGCTGGCTTGGAGCAGTACATTTGTTCGAGACATTCTCAGTGGAGTTGGGAAAATCTGGGCATAGTGAATGGATTCACGAACACAAAGCTAAGGAAAGACCAGTTCACACCCCAGGGATGTGGGTTGGTGTGGGTGTTATTCTAGGCCAGCAAATTTCTCTGGCATGCCTTGGGGAATTTTATGGGTTTGCACTTAATTCCTTAAGTAGTGTTTGCATATCTACATTTTAATAGAGCAGAAAAAATAGCATCTTACTTAAAGGAAAATAGTAAAGGGAGGAGCAATATATACCAACAAATGAGTCTGATACATGTTTTTCCTTGATGGTACATATTTGACAACTTTTGAAAGTTCAAAAGCTACCACTCATACTTTGATCAAGCTGTGAAGTGAAATTCACACTACATCTGGAGTCTACATCAACAATATAAGCGTTTTAGTTAAAAGTATGCTCCAAGAAGAATTCTTAGCATCGAAGGGGTTTATTTTCTTTGTATTTTTTACCTGATTTCTACTTGATACAACAGGGCACAAAAAATATATGAGATGGATTTCCAAATGATAGACAACTTCTCTGTCCCCTGAATAAGCATATTATGTTTGGCTCTAAGGGTTTAACTCTGCCTTCTTTTTCCTTTTTTTTTTTAAATAAAGTCTTGGAAATGGTTAGAAGAATTATCTTTGATTAATATAGGTTGCTCCTGTTCTTGAGAGGTACAGCAAATCAGACGTACTCAAACCGTGTGTATATATTCTTGGAGAGCATTGCCATCAATCAAAGTGCAGAAACCTGCTCCTGTGACTTGTAATGTGTAGACAGTAATGGTTTCCAACATGTTCCAGCTGCATTTTTTTCCCTTTAATGATCATCGTCTTGTAATATTTCTGGAACTGGAGCAGTGCTGGCTCAAACCTAATATCAGTACAGTATATGATTTTCAACCTTCTCACCCCACATATTACAAGGTCTATTGCAATTTACAGGAATGATGCTAACTCTGTCTCATCTTGTTTTGTTTCATACATCTAATTTCAAGTGTGAATATGCCTGCATAGCTCTTTGATATATGATCTGTGCTAAGAGGTAACATTAATCAAACTGAAGGTAACTCCCACCCTTTGATAAAAAACCTTGACAGCTAGGTATTTCCTTTCCAAAGCACCACCCAAAGCAATAGGCCCAAGCATTTCAGTTACCACATTGCTGTTCCCAAGGCAGCAATGACCCTGGACAACAGTGATTAGCCAAAGCCGTGACTTCACTCTTCAAAGTCAAACATCTCTCTGGAGAAATCTGAATGATGTAGTACTATTGAGCAAATTCTATGGCATCAGAAAAATGGTGGACTTTGTATGCAGTCTCACAGGATGGGAGAGTTAGGGTAAAGGTAAAAGGGAAGAACAGATCATTTTTGCAGTCAGCAGGTAAGAAAAACAGACATAGCTTAACAGAAAGGCAAAGAAAATGGATGATGATGTCTGTTTTTACAAAGTAATCTATGCAGAAGGCTTTTGTCATAGCTAGACAGTGAATTAGCTCTCCCAAATGCAAAACGGCCTCTCATACTCAGGAGTTCACAGTTCACAGCCTATATTAACTACATTGCTCTCTCAGCTCCACATTGGGAAATGTACATTGTACAGGCCACCTGGCTTGTGTCCAAGACTTTTGTACAATGCCTCTGAAGCTGGCCAAATTTAAGAGCAGTTCTACAGGGTCAAATACACAGCTTTGTAAGACTGTGAAGTAGGTGCCGTCTTAAATGTAGACACCTATTCTCAGAGGGTGACTTTGCCAACCTGACCTGCATACCTGCTCAACAAGGACCAGTGGAAGGATGCAGTCCTCCTCAGGATGCTTCTGAGCAATTGGAAGTGGCATTGCTATTCACTTTACAGGGACCGGATGCATTCCTAGAGCATGCTTAGCCCTCCACCCAGTAAGAAAAAAAAATACATAGGGATAAATCATGAGGCAGAGCAGCATTTGAACAGGCATTTGATGTGAGACTCAATGGCTGTTGCCTTGATCCAAGACGTCAGTTGTGTGAAGGAAGTGGAGTACTTCTGCAGAGTATTCCCTGGGCCACCACACTGCTGATGCACAATGTATTGGGCCAGAGAAAGAAGCTGAAGCTTCTTGGTTGAAAGCATATCTCCATGTAGTGTCACGCATTGTCATACTAGTTCAAACTGAGAAGGCATTTTGCAGGGCATAATGCACTGAAAGAAGCAATACGGTTGTGGGCTTTTCAGAAGATCTCATTCCCTGGCTACAGTGCTGCACAAAAGGGGCTCCTACTGTTCACAGACATCTCTCCAATATCTCTGGATGTTGTCAGGCTGAGCAGGAGATAAGAACCTGAGCAGAAGACAAGAACCTGAGCAGGAGACAAGAACCTGAGCAGGAGATAAGAACCTGAACAGGAGAATAAAAAATGCTTTCCCATATGTGATGTTTACCTCTTGGTAAGTTTATAGGGTTTTATAGTTTATGGAGACCTAGTGTATGGCTCCATGAACACAACTATGAAGCAGGCTGAGGTGAAGGTCTGCAACACATTAGCTACTCTGTGGTAATGAGCAGCAACAACTTCTGCAATAAATGCAAAGCAACTTCGGCCTTCAAGTGAGAGAGGATTAGCTATCAAAAAGTTGTTAGCATGGTACAGAACTAGTGTTTTGCCCTGCCCTGTGCTGAAACCATGTACTATGTCTTTTGGGAAAGTAAAACCAAATCCAGATTTTAAATCACAAAGACACAAACCATACTGGAAAGATTAACTGTTTATCACAGAGTCAGCACAGAATGACATCAGGAGCTGTCGTACTCAACCAAAGAGAAAAAGGGTCACCAAAGGTCCCTGACAGCTGGGGATTTTAGGAAAACTAATGTATGCAGAGAAGGTTTTGATTTTTAAGTCTCAGTTCTGTCTTAGATCTTCTGAATGTTCTTAATTAGAGCTGATCAGGAAACAGTACCTTTTCCTCTGGAAAATGTGGATGCCAAAGAAACAGTTTTCGACCAGGAAAGTGTTTTGATCTAAAATGTTTGCTGAGTTTATTTTTAACTGATTTCTTTGTTATCAGTACATAGCTAGACATTTTCACACATCTCCTAACAAGCCCATTCAGCCATATTGCTATTTATGATCTGAATCAAAAGATTCAATTGCCTAAACTTCTCTGACTTGCTTCAGACAGCATCTGATATTTTTGTTTTTAAAGTGAGGGCTCTGCATCTTCACTCCATGCAATTTTCCCACCAACATACATTACACTGATACTTTACTCACTTATTGCAAGAATCAGCTCTCGTCTCTGTGCAAACCCAATAAGTCTCTCCGAGTCTTTCGAAACCACTACTGGAAAGCCATTGTAGTCAGTCTCCTTGATTAGTGTCTCAACATCCTCCACTGTCATGCTGTCCTGTGTCAGAACAGAGAGAGGAGCTTCACCACGCCTTGGTCTCATGACATCAGTTGCCAGGGTTCGGTGGGTGAATTCATCCTTCACATCCAGAAATGGGTAGCCATTCAGATGAATGTGAGCTTCATAGATCCCTTCTTTCCCAAAGGCATCTGCCACCCACTTGCTTGTGACAGCTGCAGCCATAAGAGGTACGATGTACTCCAGGCCTCCAGTTAGCTCAAACATAATCACCACCAGAGAGACCGTCATTCGAGTAACACCACCTGCCAACAAGGAAAGCAGTCAAGTTTTCCTCAGTGCTCTTGAAGTATACATACTAAGCAACTCATTTACATTTTTGAGTCTTACACTCACAAACGCATGAGATTATTCATGCTGAGGACTTTGTGAAGTATTTTTGGGCTTATTTCACTGAAGAAAGAGAATATTAATCTACTGCAATTTTCATCAAAAAGATTGAGTGAACTTGCTCAAGCCAAACATGATAACACTGAAAAGCAAATAAGGAATGCTAAAAGACTGAGCTATCAAACTAGAAAGCATGCTAAAAATATTACCTATATTGGATACTTGAGAAACTAAAACTGAATCCTGCCATTAGCCCTCTGAAATAACTCCAAGAATCAGCTGAGTACCATGAGGGGGTCAAGTAGGAGCACTGGGAGCTGGACTTCATATTGATTAACCAATCACATTCATACCGGAGTGAAAGCTAAGCATTATCTTTGGGTATGACATAGTTCCAAAATCCTACGTAAGGATAGTTTAAGGCCACTGCAAGAGCTATGTTACAGCTTAAACCCTAGCTTTTGATACGAGTATAATATACAGTTTGAACTGCATACAACTTGTTCTGAGGCCATATAGGCGTGCAGCTGCAGACAGGCTTGTAGCTGTATTTTTCAACCTAGTCTTTGTGTATTAATTTCATAAGCAAGCTCCTTACTCCTTCAGTTTATGTTAAAGGATAAAAATAATCACATAACTGCAGACAAGTACATGTATATCACTGAATTATTAGGTAACATTTCTTTGCCTCTGTTCAAAAGGTAAATGTAATAAATCTACTAGTTTTAGGCCTCAAAATACAGCACCATTTTAGATGAGAGAAATCAGAAACAGGTCATTAAAAGATGCTTTTAATCTAGCAGCACACAGGAAAATTAAATTGTTGATTATTTAACGTGATGAACCGGAGATGACTTTCATCTGGGGAATGCCTTAAACTTCTGACTCTGAAAAGCTGAGAGCAGATACTAGAGTAAGGAGCATTTAATACTTACTCTGTATCTCTTACTTTAAGTGAGACAGGTCTTGAGCTTAAGAATGAGCAGTGACCATTCTGCTGTATGTCTCACCATAGCATTAAGGTCACTACACCTCGATTTGGAAATTTTAAAAGAGAAAGTGATTGCTAACTAGAAGATCAAATGCAATATAAGACCAAAATTTTGTGCATCATTTGTTTTATGATCATTAAGATCATTTATGGACAAGAGGAAGTGTTTTAGTGGTTTTGACAGTAAGATTCATCCTAGCTATTTAATGTGCCTACAGTGTTGTAGGTGTTCACATCAAAAGGGGTGATACAGGTTGCCTTTATAATCTCTGGAAGAAAACAGGCATTTTTGGGGCAAAAAATCTTTTCATCTGCTAACTTGCCTGGTTTTAGATGTCTATTGCCAGATAATACTGATCATTCCAGTATCTTATTTTTCGGTTTTGCCTGTGAAGGGTATCAACACAGCTAGCTCAGATGCTGGTATCTACATTACAGGCATTAAATTTAGACAAGCAAATCCCACCTTTCCTTTCTTCCTCTGTAACTGCACAAGTGATCCTGCTTTTCAAATATGAGACTCCAAGACTGAAATTTCTCTAGCTTTTCCCTGAATATATCTTCCATTTCAAATCTACCCAATAAGATTGATCATGTCTTATACTTCCCCACTATTATTTCGTCATCTGATGATTGTGTCAACAGCAACAAAAAGAGGAGGTAGAACATGCAAGTACAGAAGGGGAAAAGTATGATCAGGAAAAAAATGTTCAGATGATATGCTTGTAACATTCCTGTTGTATCTAAGACCAGAAATTTGATATGTCAGGTATTATCCAATGACCTGGCTTTAATAGTTAACAGATCATTCCTGTTATATTCAATAAATCCCATTGATTGGATGTAATCAGACATTGGCCTATGGTTAAAACTAAACCAGGATACAGCTCAGTTTGCCATATGTGACACACAGCCAAAATAAGACCCACAATTTTTACCTCTGTGTAGTTTAAAATTTGGCCAGAACTGGGGTGTTTGTTTCTTGCACTGAGAGAGAGCACAGTCTAAATATGAAAGTAGCTTTAGTCCAGCTACAGTGGATTTCACTACATCAAAAGGGCAAGAACAAAAAAAAAAAAAACCAACCCAACCCAAACCAAGCAAACAAAAAAGCAAAAATACTCTTCCTTGAAAACCTGTCACCTAACTTCAATTTTCTTCTTAATTTCTATGTGGTTTTTGGCAGGAGGTTTTTTTACAAGGAGTAGGCATTGGTGACTACATGCCTCTGTTGTTAACTACCTGGCAGATTCCTAGGGAAACCACTCTAGGGAAAGTTGCCCATGCTTTAGCCAATCACATCTTGATTTCAACCTCTAATACATGCAGAAATGCCAGCATAGCACCTGACACAGACACAAAGCCCTCATAAACAATTTGAAGGTCCCCAAACATCAGTGTTATTCATGCATGATCAGCAGGTACTGTACCCAAGCAAGCTGCAGCTCCCACCATAGCATAAAGTCCTGGTGTGACACAGTCTGCCCCAGGTCTGCACCAGTTCCTGAAGATGATCCAGTCATGATGGTGATACGCCAGCTGCTCTACTCCGATCCCAACCATCCTGCCAGCCATGGCTCCAACAGCCATGCTGGGAATGAAAAGGCCTGAAGGGATCTTGAATAAAACAGACACATAAGCACCTTGACAAAAATGACTAGTAATTTACTTATTGATCAAACAATTAATCATTAGTGGTAAGAGAACCCCATTTCCTTATTAAATGTTAGCTCAGAAAGCCATAGCCTTATAGCAGCCTACAGTGATGTTCCCTGTGGTCCAAGACTGGTTTTTGCAGTGAGCAAGTTTGTATGGCTATATGTGTATTAACAGCTTTATAAAATGCTAATGCTTTTTTTTTGGTGGGTTTTTTTTTGTGTAATTTTGACTCCTACCTGCTGCATTACAGTGAAATTGGTAGCTAAACGGTGTTTCTGAATAATAGTCTGCTTTTAAAGTCAAGATGCTCTTGGTTTTGCTTTTGTTGCTTTCTCAGCAGGAAGATGGGAGCTGCTCATGGTTCTGTCCATGGGCTTGAGAATTAGCTTAACTGAAAATCACATCTTGGTTTCGCCCCCTCTACCACACAGAGTACTTTATAGTTTTATTACTATTCTTTCAGGCTAAATCAGACCAGATTTTAAATTAAATGCCAAATGCAGAATAAAAATTCACAGCTGATTGCCCAGGGGCAGCTATTTCTTCATCTCAGTTTGCTATATATTTTCCAGGAAGCTCTACGAAACATTACATTGCTGTGGCAAGGGCTTGCATGGAGTTTTTATTGTTTTTAGAGTTGAAAAGTGGTTATATCTTTTTAATTCTGAAAATACGCCTTGAGCTTCCTAGAGAATTAAACTAAACCTCAGTAAGGCCCAGAGAGCTTAGGGCTGATAACAGCAAGCACTCTCTCCCACACCATATAGTGTTAATTTGGCTGATACAGTTGGATTGAGTCTTTTACATTTGGTGGGTAAAGATATTTAGTCTGTTCTTTCACACAGTAACTGAAACTGTCAATTGCTTCTAACAAATTTTAAATATATAGAGTAAACAAAGAGCCACATATTAAATAAAGAACCAAACTCAGAAGCTTTTAAACAAATGAACAAGCGAAACAACTGATTGCCAGACATAAATCAGTTTCTGCAGTGAAGGACATCTCATTCCAAGTCCTCCTCCAGAAATATATCTATCTGCAATATCCAAGTGCTCTTAAACTCCTATTTGCTCCCCCTGCTCAAGAAATCAGCAGGACTTACTTAGTCACTGGTCCTGAGTGACTTTCTACCATTCAGTAGTTCTTGTCTTCAGATGGAGAAAAACACAAAAGAAAAGCAAAACTCCAACAATTTCCTATTATATTTCAAGTAAAAGACTTTCTAAAAGATGGATCCTCAGTTCAAGCACAATGTTTAAGAAAAAGATGAGATGCTTTAGCATTGAGTGTGATATAAACTACAGTGTACGACTTAGAAAACCTTCCCATTGTCTGCTGCAATCAGATCAAGAACTAAATGCACAGATAACGGGAACCACAGGCAGGCAGATATGTATTTTATATGCACTCTAGAATTCAGACATATAAAACTCACCACTAACAGTTTTGTATATACTGAAATCTTGAATAAATTGTTCTGGGATCTTTCATCACCCATTTATGGGGAGGAGGAGAAGGAAAAGGTTGCAGACTCAGAATAATGAAATCATACATCCATCAGTCCTGCCAATCATTCCCTCTTTTTTCCAAGCTATGGTGTTTTAAAAGATTAAAAAAATAGAGCTTTTCAGCTACTTTTATATTTTTCTGAGATTTTAAATGTGTAAATCAGTAAATTTAAAGCTATAATTTCCCCAAGCATAGCTACCTTGAGGCAAATTAACACATTAATTCAACAAGACAAACAGCAGTGTAAATAACCCATATCCCCAAGAGAACTGAAAAACTACTGCAGTGGAATCATTTTGAATTTGCCTATTGGCAACAATGGATTTAAATTCCCACACAGATTTCTGTTTCACTTAATAAAACTGCAGATGACTAGAAAGTGAAAAAGTGGGGCGCATCTCTCTGCTGCAACAGGGGCCCATAAAGCAAGGTACTGGCAGGCAGGTGAACCAGCAGATATCTCATCAACACCTGCATGGCTACATGTAAGTCAGAGGTGCAAAAGCCCTGCCAGATAGACCACAACTGCTGATGGCAACCCATCTGTGCCTTGTGCTCATGACAGCTTCTGTGCCTGTCCCCAGTTTACCTTCATGCCGAAAGTGAAAATTGTGATAACAATTTTGAACACCAAGGCCAAGGCGAGCTGCCACATGGCAGTGTAGACTCCAGGGCCAGCAGGTCTGTCAGGAATGTCATCCACTGGCCGGGTCATGTTTGGGTCATTGATGTAGTCGCAGAGCTGGGAGGACTCCAGTGCACCGCAGTCATTGAAGAGCTCCGAGATCAGCTCACTGGTGCTCCTCCGCGTGTAGGGGTTGGGATAGGCGACGATGGCAGTGATAGCCGTTATCACTATGACCTCCAGGACTGGGTATTTCCCAAGTCTGGTGGTCTTTCGCCTCCTGCACCAGGCAATGTTGCATCGGATAAAGAGGGTCCCCCAGAGGCCGCCGAAGACACCAAGCAAGATGAAGGGGAAGAGCTCGGCCATGTACCAGGGGGTGTGGTACTCCACGTAGAACAAGACCAGCCGACTGTTTCCAAACGGATTGATGGACCTCAGTGTGAAGGCAGCCACGAGAGCAGCAAAAAATGACCTCCAGAGAGTTTTCAGAGGAAAGTAGTAACTGACCTAAAACCAAGCAGAGACCGTAAACACTTCATGAGTGTGACAGAGAATGTTTGCTTTAATTACCATCACCACATGCTTCATCTGTGGCTCCACAACTGACTTTACTGGAAGCACTAGTCCTTACCACAGCCAGAATGTTTTCACAAAAGTATGAGAAAAGTCATTTTTAGATTTCAGATAGGGAGCAGCAATCAGTTAAAAATCAATAAACCAAAATCCAAAGTTACTGGCTAGAGATGGTAAGAAGGATGCTCGACAGCGCAGCCCATGTGGCAGATAAAGAAACCTCAGCACAGGGATACATTTCCAAATTGATTCATTTCATTTGTGTCCAGAAAGCCAACGATGCTGCTCTACTCAAATTAGGCTAAAATATCAGTTTATTTCTTATTACTATAAATCAAACGTAACTTTTGCTTCAGAAGAAAAATGAGCATGTAAGTATTTGAAAAATAAAGAGGAATCTTAGAAAAAGGTACCAAATGAAAATATATTTATTAAAAAAAGCAAACTGCTAGGTCTCACCTCTTCCAGACTAAAAAGCACACCTCCAATTGGAGCACCAAAGGCAACAGAAACTCCTGCGGCGGCTGCAGCTGAAAGCACCTATAAGGCAAATATTTGCATACAAGGCATGAGTGCTTCGAAACACCAAGTATTTGGAGAGGGAAATTAGAGATGATGGGAGTCAACCTCACCTCTCTTCTCTTTCCTTCGTTCTTGCTGTACTTTGAGAAAAGGCTGCTGAAGAAGTTTCCGCAACAACAGGCCACGTGGACTAACGGCCCCTCTTTCCCAAGGCTCAGGCCTGAAGATACCACCAGAACCAAGGTGACTGTTTTGATTAAAAGTGTCCACTTTCCCAGGTAGCCCCTAATAATGAACCCACTCAAGATGGTTTTTATCTGGAAAGCAGGAAGAACATGTTGAAGAGCTTAAGAAACCTTTTCTACTCTGAACTTGCAAATGGAGTTAAAATTCCAGCGGAGTTATAAAGAAATAGCAGACTGCTTGAAAAGAGACAGTGAGGGAGAGAAAGTAACTGTAGGTAGGGCAACTTTCCCACAGCGATATTTGAGCAGGGGTTAAGCAGACCACACTTTTACTCTTGTTACGGGTGGTCCCCCACTTTGGTGAGGAGTCTCGCAGAGATCAATAGAAATATGAAACTCTTACGTATCTCCTTGGCTTACAGATCAGAGTTAAACTAGACTCCACTTTAACAAAGCCGAAAAAGAAGCAAATAAACAACCACAGACTTTTCCCAGTTAAAACAAGTGAAAAAAAGAGTTCTCAGTATTTGGAATGGACATGCCATAGAAGCATGCAAGTGTTATGAAATGAGAAAGTCCAGGAGATCTTATTTTTATAGATTTCCTCTTAGTTTTGCATATGAGTGGCTAGAATACAGCACAATGTACATGCATGACACACAGGCTCCAAGGTGGGATTTGAGTTTGGACTGTAGCCCTGGAAACAGGCTGAAACTGAGCATCAGCTCACATGAGAGATTTATCACTTAGAAACTAGATTTACAGTTAACCATGAAAACTTTTTAAAAACACTTATGTATCAATAATATATATATCAAATACATAACAAACACATACATGTGAGTAATTTGAAACATGGAAATTATTTAAATATTTCAAATTATTGGGGAGGGGATGTCCTAATTGACCATGAAATGTTTGAATGCTTCTCCTAGAGATGAAAAAAAAACCAAAAAACCAAGATTCGTAAAATTTGGGCTCTTGATTCTGTCTGCCAGATTCTTACTAATCCCAGTGATCCTATAGCACTTCTAAGAGAAGACTTCTCTGATTGAAAAAATCTTGAGTAGTTATGCTGCTTGAATTACAGGATTCCTCACTTTAACAGCTTAAATATGGGCTGACACTCAGTATGCAAAATATTGAAAAGCAAGTAAGATTTTTGGCTGCCATAATGCTGGCACAACAGCATAACATTGTCTACAAGGACACAGTTTGCAGAAGATGAAAGCCAGACACTTTTCAGGCATCCAAATGATTGGCATCTTGCATCTTCAGCAGCTTAGGAAACCTCTTCATTTTATTTTGGTTTTGTTTAAAGCCTAGACTAGAAAATGACTGAGTTTGTAACTGGGCCAAGTAATTTAACCCAAAGAAAATTCTGTAGAATCTTATGGTGAGTATGTGTCTCAGCCACAAAAATTTGGAGCCCATAAAGGGATGACTGGGAGCTGCTGATTTTTAATTCAGGCTCTGGCAGTGAGGTATGATGTGCATTAACCTGCCACAGTGGCATTTGAACCTTTTCTACTATGAACAATTTTGATAAGCACCATAAAGGCATGTTAGAAGAATGAAAGCAGATGAGATGGAAAGGCAATCTTGTTGTTCCTATACCATCCCACAGAACAGTTCTGAAATCAGAAAAGGTATCAAATTATTATTTCTTTGTTTTGTTTGGTATTTCGATATCCACCCACAAAGAGAAACTCACCTCTGGGATTCCAGAGCCACAGGCATAGGGAGCAAACACTCTGACCAGGGAGACTGCCAGGAAAGCAAAACACAGAGCCCACATAATGTATAGAAAATAGTTTAGAATGTAAGCACTTGCACCCTAGAAAAATAACAGTAACAAACATTGTTAGACAAATGCAGGTTGGTAAAACTCACACTTCTACTAGGGATTATGATGGCACGGAGCCTGGTCTTTTCATTGATATGATAGCTGTTGCTTTTCCTCAGGAAGGAGAAATTACTTCATACAGTTCAACAATTTTATTACTCATGGAAAGAAACAGCATTCTAATATATACTTAGACCGGTCCATACAGTCTGTTTGCAAGGGACCCAAACACCTTAAAAATATCTTTCAAGGACTTAAAAATTAAGCCAACTGCAAAAAGTTGCAAAATGTCAAACAAATCTGTCATAAGGGAAAAATAATTGGTGATAAAAAAAGCACCTAATGATGGAAGCTGCTGTGTTCATCCCATGATGGGTGACAGGGATACATCTTTTTCTGAGGGCTGGTATTAAAAGGTTACCTCTCCATGCAGATGATGATCTTTTAAAACAACACCCCTGTGTATATCATTAGCTAGTTCAAAAATGGTAAGGGTAAAACCATAAATTAATCCTTTCCTTCTACATGATGCTATCTATGACAGGGTTAAAAAACATTTACAAACACAATAGCTTGGCAGATCCCATTCAGACGCATCTCAGTCATTTTTGCCCTGATATTTTAAAAGCATTCTAGTCAATAATAAAACCTATTTTCAAACTAAATAACTTTACTTCACTGACAGAATGGAAATGCCAATAATAATTAGCATCAGTTGACTGTGCAGTGCCATAGTGAAGGCATAGTCAATAGCGACCTTCAAGCTTTCTACCTGTCTCTAGTGGCCAAGTCAAAACTGTTGTTAAAATCTGGCTTAGAACCCCTCCCTATTCACAAGCATAATTTTTTAGATTAATTTCAAGCACTCTACCTACACATACAAAATATAATCCAGTCAGAGGCATCAAATTGATACACATTAAGCCTTTTTAAGGAGATTAAGCCTTCAAACAATCTCCTCTAGCAACATGACAGTACTGAATAAAAACCAAGATGAACTTCAGTGCATGAATTGGTATGAATCCTTCACCTTTAAGTGAACTCTTCCTACCGGATGCAATCCCAGTTGCTCAAGAACATGGGGGCCCCTATCTTCGCTCTGCAGAACAGCAGCCTGGATATCAACATTATGATAAATCAAGCAGGAAAACAGACATTAATCACTTGTATTGTGTCTTCAGTCAACAGAGCTGACAAAACACGGTTCCCAGTCAAAAAATCTAGAGCTGAGAAGACTCCCTGTTTGCAAACTTGCAAGGAATCAGCTTTCAACATGGATGCCTGATTTTCCAGGTCTCTGTCCATGTGAAAAGACAGTAAGAGAACTATTGCTCTTATCCTCATGGATTTATTTGGAAGAACAACAATTTGTTAAGGTCCTCTTATGCTTGCTGAAGCAGGTTTGCTGATAACAGCAGAATAACAGCAGCAATACAATGCCATTCTCCAATGCCCTGAGACTGAGCAGTCATGGATCCCACGCTTACAGTGATTGACATCTGTCTGTAGTAACCATGAATCTTTGTTGCTACAGCTGAAGACAGTCTTGTCTTCATGAATGTCTTCTCCTAGTGCTTTCAATTACAAACAGCTATGACAATATTTACTTTTCCTGTAGAGAAAACTCTGGACATGTTGCCCCAGGGCAAAATTCTCCTGTCAGTGTGAACTGGAGTAACTCCAAAGAAGACCAACGCCGTTAGAACAATTCGGTCCTACAATGTTGAGTGAAAGCTGTAGTTTTGCTTCTAAATTAACCGGAGTCAAATTAACTTTGTTTCTTTTTACTACTTCTTCTTTCACATGTGATGAATACTGCGTCAACGTGTTACTGCAGTCACACATACACCTAGCGTGCTGTGGCAGGACCCCGCAAGAGTCTATATGGTGAGTTCAGTCTTACCCACTGGGACAACTCTCACTGTTACATTTTCCAGATATCTGGCATTCTGCGGGTCCAACTGCAGCAGTTTATAATGATTAATAATAATGAAAAAATACAAACCTTTGAGAAGTGAAGTAATAGTCACTGGGTATAGCAAATGGCTTATTTCTCATTCATTTACTTGCCATTCATTACTAAGGCCCTGAATAAGTCTTAGGCATGTATACTGGAATCAGAGACCAAAAAAGCTCACCAGTAAAGATGATCCTGCCAAGATCTTTTCCACTCTGCTAGTGGCTCAAAGGATTTACACTGGTAGCAACAGCAACAGAGCAAGAACGGAAACTGAGAAAAATGTTGTGTTTTAGTTTGCAAGACCAAGCAGTATTTCAGATCTGGTGTCAGTCCAGTTCAGGTACATATGGAACACAACTGAAAACAACCCTCACAAACTCAGAAGGCTGAAATAAAGCACATCCCTCAGGATGCTATCCAATGTTTGTTTCCTCCAGATACCCAAAGCTCTACTGTAACTCGGCTGGGAATCTCACAGTTTGCAGACTCCCTCCTGTGGATACATCAATGTGTCTCCTCAGGGCCCTCAAGAATGAGAGATTCAAGGCTGCAAAACTGTATTCCAGGTATAAAGGGGCTTCCTTGTCTTGCGGGTCTCAGCTTCATGACAGGAGATCCAGAAGCCCTGAGATGGGAATCCAGTCTGTTGCTGGATACAGAATCATGAGACATGGAAGACTTGGGGTCCTTTCCTTTACCCTGGATAGCTCTAAGGCACCAGAAATGTGGTCCTCAATTCTAGTGAAGCTGAGGTTGGTGAACTGATCCCCTGAATCTGCAGAACAGGGGAAGGTCCGGGTAACCAGATACTTGCCAGGAATCTACCTGAAGTGCGTGGCATCTGATGTGCCTTAACACATCCTCCAGTGAATTTGAGGGTTTGAAACAGCATCAAAAAAACCCACTTCACCTGCTCCTTGAAAGCAGTTCAGGACCAGAGAGATGAACTATATAATTCACCTACAAACAGCGATCAGGGAAGAAAACTTAGCCTGGTATGTATCTGATGTGCTATTATGTTTTCCATAATAATCTACATCAAGACTCTGCTTTGGGCTCATTTTATAGGACTAAAATTAAAACATTTTTCAAGACATACCATAGAACATGTCACAATTCTCAGTCAGAACATACATACATGGTTTATCATAGCCATAAATTGTCAAAATCACATGGAAGAACTGATCTAAGTCTTCGTCCTCTGAATGTCAGTTTCTTTGGCTATAATGAGAAGACATTTCTGATCAAAGTACCCTTAGGGAGACTGTTCCAAAGCACTTTTGTCTAAAATGTGCTCCAAATTAGTCCTTCTGTCCACTGCTGTTTTGTAAGGGCTGTTATGCAAATGTCAGGCACAAAGCAAAGCAATTAAAAACAAAACACAAACAAACAAACAAAAACCCAAAAAACCAAACCACCAAAACAAAACAAACCCATAAAATTATCCTGAATTCCAGTCAAATTCAGTGTATTTTGATCCCTCCTCAAGTCCTCTACAGCTACAGGAATCATGCAAAACTTTCCCAAATCCTAAGACTTGCTACCAAACAGAATTTTTACTTTCCATATTTACATTTTTGTTGGGCTTTGCCTGTGATTTCAGTGTAACAGTAATAGACAGCTGTATTATTAATATTTATAGCATTCATTGGGCCATGGCAGCCAAAACCCCACAGAACTTAGAGGCCCATTTGTTTTGAGAAAGAGCCTAAAACTAAGCCAAGATGAACCCTTTTTTTTTTTCACCATGACTAGGGCATGAGAAGCTCAGTGTGAGCACAGTAAGGTTTCACAGTGCCCTCCTAGCTGATACCTTCCCTATAGGCCACAGCATACAACAGTCATGACTGCTGATTTTAAGTAGCAGCCAAAAGTAATAAATTTTCTGCAAGATATGCTCCGTTTTTATATTCCAGCCTTTTGGAGTAACAGCGTGTCAAACACATGCACAGGATTTCCAAATCCCATAACAATTTTAACAGTCTCTTCTTTTTCCCCTTCCCACATATTTTTGTCCTCTTAAATTACAACATCATCCCCAGCCCTGCAACTTTATACCAGGGTAATATTTCTTCACTGTGACAGACGCAACCACGCAAACCATCTGCTGATGAAGACTAGTGTGAACCTAACAAAACTCTGGCAAAGGGAAGCTTGGAGCTGTGGACTGGCAACAGTGCTATGATTTTTGCCTGCCATTAAATGGTGGGAATATTCATTAAGAGTGAGCACCCCACTACATTCACTATGGATTTTCAGAACTATGGAAACTGGGCTATACATATTCACAGACACCGCTTGTACTGTAAACCTAAACCAGCACTGAAGGAATTACAAACTTGTATGATGATGAAGGTGCCCTCATTCTGCAGCACGAGACTACCTCCACACTAGGGGAAGACCCGAGACAACCTCTCCACATCACCCATTTTTTAATTGCCTGGCTGGAGATTATCTATGCCACAGAAGTACATATTTTCCTCTCCTATTATTAACCAAACTGCACTACCAGATACTTTTTTCAAAGCTACATTACATACTTAAGCCAGTTCTCTTCAAAGTCACATTCATCCTACCTCAATGTCATATTCAATTTTTGTTATGCAGATCTTACACAGCTCCCACTACTACTCACAGCATTTGAATACATAAAAAACATCTGCAATCCCAAACATTTCCTCTTAAATGTATTTGTCAGGGATCACCATTTTTGTCCCATAAAATCGTGTTTAAAAGACAAAAATTGGACAGCAGCTCAGGACCCCTGGTGATTATGACTGTTATGAAACACTTTTGGTTCAATACTGATAAAAAGAGAGTGATCTTGCAGTTTTCCATTATACACGATGCTGGAACAATAGGACCTCTTCGAAGTTAAGCAGATAATGGTTGTGGAAATGTCTTTTTTTGCAGCGTACTTGGTTCATTACTTTCTCTTTCAGAGCAACTCTCTGGAGAGAACATCAGGAAGTAAGAAAAAAGGCATTGCTGGCCTGCTGTGACCACAACCTAATCAGGTCTCCCATACCTCAGACTGGCTTACAAGAAGTTCAGACCATTTCTGCCACTGGGGACATTTGTCCCTGTCATCGAATGTCGTTTCATTAGACGTCCAACAGCACTGCTCGTGGCTGTACCAGAAGGCAGAGAGGCAGACACCCTCCTTCAGGTCTGTCATCCAATCCACAGCTAAATCTATCACTCCGGCTAATGTGCCTGGGAAAAGAAATGCAGAAAAAGAAACTGTGGCATTAAAAAATATCAAGTTGCAAGGAAAATAAATCTAATTATAACAACAGAAAAAAAAAACCAAACATGATTTGGGGAAGCAGCTGCAATGTAAGCACAAATATACCAAAGAACAGAGGGCAATAACACATGTGCAAAGAAACATCCAGCTTGTTGTCTGACCTTCAGTACTCTCTCATCAGCTTTTTATTTTAAAGTTCTCATTTACATATTTACTGACTGCCAAGTAGAGAAGGCATAACTGACATAGGGCCTGATCCTGCAGTCTGTCCCAGGTAGGGATACCATTTGACTGAGATAAGGAGGACTTCATGCAGCATCTCTATAAGCATCCTGAGCTGCAGTCTCAAACTGCATTCTGTATTTCAGGTGTAGGGGAGGAGGAGGATACATTGTTTTCCGATAGCTTTACTACAACATTTTAGAAGGAAGATTTCAGCACAGAAACAATACGGATTCTGACTTATGAACTTAACGGAATCGGGCTCCCCACATGTACATTCACGAGCAACCCGAGAACGCAGAATAAGATTACCCTTCAAATCCTCTCTGTAGCTAGCAGATTCCTTGCAGATTTTCCCCAGAATATACAGAGCTACAGTGACACCCGGTGGTCACCGGACACAGATACGGGAAAACTTGCCGGGGCCACACACAGGAAAAGAAAATCCTGTTTTTCTGGGGCACTTGTTCACCAGCGGTAATTCCCAGCCCCCGGGATCAGATGTGTCCTCCCGAATCCAGCACCAGCACGAAGGGGAAGGCCGGGAGCAACCAGAACACAGAACGGCAGACCTGTGGTCGGTCACCGTGTCCAGGGACTCTGAAACGCATTAAGGCACCGATTGAAGAGTTCTTTAGTGTTTTCCACACCCCTCTCAATATACAGTGGAAAGTAGAACTCATTATTATTTTTGCAAGTCATCTTTAATACAATTTCAGGAAACCAGTAATGGATTTGAAAGAATTTACTGAGGCTAAGCCACTGAAAAACAATACTTTGGAAAATGCAAAATGGTTTAATGTTCCCAAAACTTTTAGCTTTGTGGCTCCTGCTAAAATGCAATTACATGAAGCAGTGGTGGGGGCTGCTCCCCTTTCTCCTAGCAGCTGGGGCACACAGGTGGGTTCAGGAGCCAATTTATTTGACCTGGAACTAAAGTTTTCTGAGTTTCATGTCTGTGAAGGAGGAAAAGAAAACCATTCCAAATAATTCAGGTACATGTAACTTGTCCTTTATTCTATATGACAGAAAAAAACACTAGTGTTTGCAGAGGCTTATATTACTTATTGAGTAAATATTCTCACCCCCTTAAGCAGGATCCTTGTCCCCACACTGACCAGCAACGTAATTAGGTAACAGTGAAGTCTTTTTGTTGTGTAAGAATACTCTGAAGGATTAAGATATACACCATACAAGACCACCAAAAAAGGCTGCAGAAGGGAGTAATGATGTCTGTACCAATTATTTTCTTTCATGAAGACCTTGCCTTTCTCTTCCTTACTCGCTTCCATTTTCCCAAGTTTCTATGGAAACAATGAACCATATTCTTAGACGATGATAAATCACTGTGTTGCTGGTAATGTCAGTGTGCACAGCTTACTGAGCTTTGCAGCAAGCTCTACATCCTCCTCCAGTTTTCTGAAAGTTTCAGGAAACTGTACAAAGAATCCTCATCCCCTGGACATGAGCACCAAATGGCTGTGCCTCTTGCTTCTCTCCATGGACCTTTATCATCCTCCGTAGCTGACCCAATCTCCAAAGCTCACATCACACTTAACCAGGCAACTGAGTATTAACGCTTCATAGAGTGCAAAGAAGGTGCAAAGGCAGGTAGGCTTTTGACCATTTCTCCCCAATAAAGTTAATAAACAGAGTGAGGAACAAGAATTCAGTTCTCTAATATAACAAGCTCACATGCACTCCAGTACCTGTAGGAAAATGTACTTAATTTTGCAGCTGATCTAATCCCTTCTGGCAAATGCTTTGGGATCCACATAAAGGAGGAAAATGTGACATGCAATTTACTACACATGCTTTACAGAGAAAAGAATAATGAGAGGGGAGGGCCACCATTTACAAGATAATAGTGCAATAGTGAACCTTCACAAGACACATGACCAGGACTAGAGTTTTCAAAGTTCTGAGTCATTGCAACTTTAAGTGAAATTAATGGGAGTTGCAGACTCTTCAGCATCTCAGAAAGTCAAGCCCTTAGTTCCTTGCGCTTATCATGGCTGTCTAGACTGCAATAAAGCATAAGTTTAACTCCCTACTTCTCCCACTAAAGGAGCTGAACTTGTTCCCCCTTCTATGTAACCTGCCTGGAATGAAAAACAACAAAGCACTCCAAAGATAGAAAATGCTGAACTTCATTTTAGATAAGAGCCTTTGTCATCTCTCCTTTAGTTTATACTTATCCTTGGCCAATACTTACCCTTTACAATGCCCTAATAAGAATGCTAAAACTTTGCTTTGAAAACATAGTTTTCCTGATGCATCTGTGCCAGAAAATAGCATCACCCAAGTGGCACAGCACTGAATTACAAAGGGGATTTTTTTGCACCGTCAGCTCCAGAGCATTTCAGCATTAGTATGATAGTACTTTATGTCACACAGTTTAGAAAACACAGACTCTTTTGGTGATCTATGTATAGCATATAGTTCAGTTGGCTAGTAATAATTGTTAGATGGAGGGATGCCCACTGGTCTGCTGGCAGGATGGCCACAGTAGAAACTCAGAAGTCCTTACAGATGAAAAATGCCTTAAAAAATTGGCACCTACACCTAAAATTTTTAGGTTAATTTCCCCACAAGTTGCTTTGTATTTCTCCAGAAAGTATAAACTTTCTGTCAAAGACCACCCCAGGTAGTGCTCAGCATCTTTTTCTGGCACATAGTGTGAGCACTTTTCATACAATCTCCACAGCAAAAGGCATTTGTGAGTGTTATTGCTCTTTTCCCCTTCCTGAAATGAGCAAGCTCTGCTTCCTGAGACATCATTTCCAGAAGCTCCTTAGTGCCTTTCCAGCCACTTGACAGAGTTACACACCATATTCTCTCCTTCCACGTAGCACCTTAGGGTTCAAGACCCTGTGGGTACATGTCTCTCAAAGAGCCTGGGAGCTAGATGTGTCAGGCTGCAGCAGCACTGGCAGGCTCCCCTCAAGGTAATTTATGTGTCCACAGTCACTTGTGAAGCTTTGGTCTGAGCCCAAATGGCTGCTGCTTCATTTTCAATATACTTTGGTGTTACTCAAAACACACAGCTCCCCTTGGAGCAGCAGTAGCTTCTGCCTGTGCAGCAGCACAAGAGGGACCATGGAGGAGCCAGTCTGGTCCATGCAACCCCATGGAACCACACATGGCAGGCCAGCTTCTCTGAGCAGGTGGTATTTCAAGTACAGAAGGAAACGATATGAAGTGCCTCTTGACTGAGCCACCAAACTCATTTACTCCCTCCTCAAACCTGCTTGAGAAACCTCGTCCATGCACCAGTAACCCCCCACCGCTCATCAAAGGTGTGTTTACCCCTTGCTGAGGCTGGGATGGTGACTCTCCATCTTTGCCCTGCCCCAGAAACACTGAAAGCACAGAATGCAAAGCAGAAAACATCTACAGGGCTCAGCCCAGATCAGGAGCATGCAGGTGATTTTTGTTCTCTAGTCGATTCACAAGTCCTTGTCCTTTTAGTCTAAAACCAGACTAAATTGATTTGACTCTGAGACAAACCACATTGCTCTACATCCTTGTAACTGAAAACATTGCAAAAGCTAACGTATTGCAGCTGCAGGTTGCCCTCAACCACCATTCCCAAGCTGGATGTATTTTAGGGCAGCGCTAGGGCTTACCAGAGGTCAGCTTTCAACAACCTTGAGGATTTCAGCATGAGATTTCATTGCAAACTTGAACTGAAACAAAGCTTCTGGAGTACTCTTACTAAAATGGAAGTGTGTGAGTGCATATCAACTTCCTTGTACAAGTGAGGGGATTACTGACAAGCTTGCAAGAGGTGACTAGAGCTGTCAAGGGCTTGCTCTAACTTTCTTTCAAGCATAATTCTCCATCCCAGATAAGGCTAATCCTGGCCTTCAAGCAGAATTCAGCAGTCCTGGTAGTACATAGCCTATATCAGATTCTCTTCTGTTCTCACCCTCCTATCAAAACTTTTGTTGAAACAAATATATCTATCTCTATAGATATAGTATTATCTTACAGATATATTATATATCATAAATATAATATAATATAATGTATAAATAACATAATTTACCAAAAATGACACTTCAGCAACATTTTCTCAAGAACATCCCCAGTACTTCTGAGGCTCCTCATCAACTGTAATAAACGTATTAACTTGACAGTTGGGAAGCAGGAGATTCACACCATCTGGAAACTGTGAAACTTCCCATCATACTTTTACCAAGCAGCATGATACAAGAGCACCCTCACATCACTGAAAAAGCGTAAGAAATAGGAGCTGTTTCAGCTTGGTTAGAGAAGTGCAGCTTTCCAAGTTGGAAGATGGGCTAAACTGAGCAGAAAACAGGAGAAGTTCGGGAAATTAATGAATTTGCCACCTGAGTTTAAGCAGGCTGTTAAATGTGTAATGTCTGTCTGGCCTGGAAGCAGATCTGAAACTGAGACTGAAATTGTATTTTCCCTTCATACACATGTAAAGAAGACAACCCAGTGGATATTGCAATTTCTAAGTTCCCCTTTGAGTGCTTACAACCAACATTTTCCCCACATCATATCTACTTGCAGAATTAAAGTAAGTGAAGACAAGAAAAAAATCCTAACAATGAAATTGATTTTGGTGCATCTAAGGTTCAGAAAGTCAAAGTAACCCATCAAGTGTAAAGCAATCAGATGCAAGTTTCCAAAAGCAATAGAAAAATCATTCTAGGGGTGCATAACATTTTTTCTAGGTCAGTTATCCTCAGAAGACTTTGCAAGTGGGTATTTTTATTAAGAATTATAACTGCATGGGTGCATAGCTGCCTTTTTAGCTTGAAACAGTGGAGAGACACTGAAGTGAAAAGAGAAGCAGACGGCACTACAGCAAACTTGGGTGAGATGGTTCTGAGCATAACTGTAATGCTAACACACACATACCTGCCAGTAGTCCTATGAGAAGCATTACAACCCATCCTGACCAAGCATCCAGCAAACTCTTGATGAACTCCCATATGGATTCCTTACTTTTGCTTGTAATCTGAAATTAAAGCATAGACATGTTGCCAATACAGGCCAACACAGCTTTAGTGTACAGTGTTTAAAACAAAAAATATTCAGCCTCCTAGAAGGTGTGCACAATTTCTCTACTCAATCATTTTTCAGAGAAGCGCTGCTGATTAAGTTGCCAGAAGCACTTTCCTATTTACAAACTAAAGACATGCCACATCCATACTTTTAGAAGTGCTCCTCAAGTCACACAATAAGGTAGGAAGCAGTAACTTTGTAGACCTGCTTGTTTTTCTTGCCACCAGGATGGCTATAACCCAGGGGCTGAAACGCATCAAGGCCTGACAGCTTTACCTTTCTGTGGCGATCAGTGTCCCGTGATTTCTCCCGCAGCCAGTCAATGGTGTGGAAATCTTCATAAGTTCCAACATCGGGGAAAGGCTCATCCAGAAAATCCATCAGGTTGCCAGAACCATTCATGTCTCCTGCATTGACCATATTAGGGTCTGTACATAGAGAGAAAAACAAGTATGTCAGTAAGTCCATACAGCTTCGCCAGATCTTTCAGAACCAAGTTCTCCAAAATACCTCCACAAACCACAGAGTCAAGAGAGCCCGAGTCAGCAGTCCTGGTGGGCACTTACTGAAATCCATACATTGCCACTAGAAAAAGTGTTTTGCTGAAAACTACTTCAGTAGCTGAGCAAACCCTTAAAAGCAGACACAAAAATCACAGGATCCAAGTGCAGGAATATCAGATTTCCTGAAAACAGAGCCCCAAACCCCAGAGTGGTTCTGGGCTTCTTCTGCCCATCCTCATCCCATGCTGGAGGAAGTGCCCTGCCTACAGGGAGATCATCGAGTAGGCAAGCCCACCATCTCAGAAAACAAATACAGTAGAATTCACCATTCATCATGAACTGCAGGTTTTACATGGCAACATTAGTCATAGCACTGTGGTGCTGTCTAGTTTTGCATGCTCAAAGCTCCCTGCACTGATCCACTTTCCTTCCACTGCTCAGAAGGCAAAGCTCAATATATTAATAATATATATAATAAGATATTAAAACAGGGAAACACAGATGCCCATTGTTCTGCAGCCCTGGAAACTATACCTCGTTCATGCAGTCCATATAAGAAAGCATGAAGAAGTTAGCTCATAACCACTGCATCTCTCTTTCCCACAGCAATCTCAGCAACATCTGGCTAGGTGCAAAAATGACTGTTATCTCCTTTAAAGGTCAGGTCCCAAAGTAGTCACTAACATAACAAGCTCTAGAAATGGCTGACCATTCTCAATGAGAAGACAGAGCCCTTTAGTAGCATGAAAAACTATTAAACAAAGTAGCTCAGGCAGACAGGGTTGGTTTCATCTAATTCTGGCCATCTGAACATTTAGTATTTGGGCTGTAAGAACAACCTAGGCTGCCTCTAGAAGCAAAGATGTGTGTAAGGGTGTGTGGCAGGAGAGTGCCTGCTCCTTCAAAGGTAAGGTCAAGGACCTTTTTTTAATGTAACAAGGGACAAGAAGCAAATAAGGAAGCCTGAATAAGAACATGGAGGCACGCAAATTTGGCACAAATAATAAGGGAACGAAACCTGGTCAGTCACACTCACTGATGAGGGCACGTGGCAGTGTGAGAATGCCTATTCCAGCAAGGTTGTCTGATTGTGGACCTTGTCAGTTGGGAAACTATGGGAAAACCAGGGAAAGCTGGAAACAAAATATAGAGGCACAGACCTGACAAGGCAAGCATAGAGACCATAACAAGAAAAAAAACCTCACCACTCACACCAGCTGAAGAGCTATTAATGGTGTGTGCGCCTCTGGGATACATTTTCAGGTTTCCTATTGGTTGAACCTGCACATGAGAAAGTGGCAGTTGTGTCCCTCGGTGTGGCCAGAAACCCCGGGTCCATGGTGTGGACAGGCTGTGGACAGGGACAGGCTGGGCAGGAGGGTCCTGGGCTGGAGGAAGCAGCCATGTGCTTCTACATCACTTAACAAAGTGTTGCTCTAGAAAGTGATTAATGCCATCCATCATAAAATAGGTGCTTGGGAAAGGGAGTACTTCCAGAGAGTACCTAGGTTTGTAACCTGAAATGGCAAGCCAAAAAAAAACCCCAGCTAACAGGGGATTATAAGAAAAAAGAAAAAAAGGGGAAAAAAAAAAAAAAAAGAAAGCACATGAAAACATTAAAAAAATATGAGGACATGTACAGACTTCAGGGGGTTTACAGACCTGACCCTGCAGAGCCTGTAGGTCCTTGACAGACACAAGGAAACTTTTGCACATCATTGATGAGGCTAGCATGGTACTAACAACTACTACAGGTATGGAAACAGGGATTTCATGAGTAAAAAATTTGGATCTTTGAATCTGTGAGGAAACTTCCCAATTCTGTAATTGGAAGAGGCAGATAACCTTTTAATCAGCTGTCCACATACCCTGCTGTTCTGCTTGGCCCCCTTTATTTACTGTCATTTCCCCCCTCTTCTATCCATTCTCAACTGCTTTACTTGAATCCTTTTCATTTATATTTTTCCCTGGTGGGGATTTTAGGGATATAACAAGCTTGACTACTCAGCTTTGTCATGTCTGCTCTTTGCACTCCACCAGCTAGGACTTTCTGGATGACACAGAATGTGCTTGCATAAGCAGACAAGGAAAGCATTCTTATAGGCAACCAGCAGGTCACCACTATAATGCTGTAGAAGCCCTTTTAAGTGAGGAAATCAAGTAATCTCCAAGCATCATAGTGTGTTTGTCTCAAAGAGAATCAAGCAAAGGGGTTGCAGCCCGGGGAAGGAAACCAATGCAGAGCAGGTATTCCAGGCAGGGCTGCTGAGCACAGGTAAGCTGCCACAAGACTGAGGCAATTTAAAAAAACATCATTTTAGAGGAGTGACAATTGAGAATAGCAGCACTTCAGTGAACAGAAGAGAGCAGGCTCCTACTTGTGCTAAGGAAAATGAGAGTCTGAAGGTGGGATGCTGCGGCTGATACTAGGGAGCTGAAGTTGCAAGTGGATTTTGAGTTTGGTGTCTTGTAAACAGTGATGGGGGAATGGAATGAGATGCTGAAATGAGGTGAAAGGATTAGACCATGCTATTGTTTTGTAACGCTGTGACATTTTTGCAGATCATTTACTTCATCCCACTCTTCCCATACAGCAAAGAAGGACTTGTAAAGAACATGCAGTTCAGACTGCTTGCCTGCGTGATGCAGCCTGCCTGCTACAGAAACAAACCTCTGGGAACTCTTGTGCTGAAAGTGTTGGTGAGTTTTCCTTAATACTACAAGAAAATTACCCAACATGTGAGTTATATCACATAAAAAATAGCTTTTTAAGTATGTTGTCGATGCCCAGCACATGTCAGTATTGTGATGGATAATACCGGGCCAGACCACAAGTATGTAGGATAATTACAATCTCAGCCTGAATCTACCCCAAAAACACATGCTACACAACATGTCCAGGGAGAGAAAAACGTGCTAGAGACCACAGGGCCATGGAAGACTAACAAACACACTTTGAACTCTAGGTAGCTCACCAATACATGGAATCTGCAGTTAGCTGGATGGTTATCAGCCTTAAAGTTCACCTCAGGTACTACCCTTCTGAAAGGAAAGATGTGGTAACAGATTATGGAAAAGCCAATTTTCGTAATAAAACTAGCTACAGCACTTTTGAACTGAATACTACAGAGTTCCTATCTACATCCTAGCACCAAGCGCCTTAAGTGTCACTTTCTATTCTGCGTTTATCTATCTCCCTTTACTTTGGCACCTGAAGTAATCTCCAAAGTTCATTTCAGGATAAACTGACCTGACCTCTTTCTTAGAGATGCTTGCAGAGATGTTTCCAGTTACACCAGCAGAACTGAAGCCTTTACACAAATAACTCAGTTGCAGATATTTTAATTTAATATACATCAATTCAGGGCAAATTAATTTCCTCCAAAGAAGTGTACTTCAGCAATCCACTCTGATTATGGCGAGAGTATGAGCATTTGTGGTGCAAACTGTCTCATCTACCCTCAGAAATCTCTGGACACTAAATTCTAGACTCCTTTCACAGCAGATGAGGAAGTAAACTCTGTTCACATGCAATTTATCTGATGTCTTTCAGATATTTACATTAGAATGAGAGAAACTTTTTCTCATGAGTGCCAATTTCTGCTTACTAATTACAAGGAGATACCAGAGGTAGACATCCACATCTCAAATGAGTTCAACACTACCGATTTGAAAGAAAACATTGCAACACCATTACATGCAGAACTGGTAACAAATGCAAATCATAGTCACGCCTAATACCTGAGTATCTAAGAGATTTAGATAATGACAGACCTTATTTACACAGAAATGTGTTGAATCTTACTGAGTAAGAGTTTAACATACGTATTTTGTCCCTTTGTCATTCTATGTCTTAGACGTCCTTGCTATCCTTTCCACTACTTTTCCAGATGCTGATGCAACACAATTTGTGCAAGGGCGAACATTTCCTGCTTAGTTCCCCATTCTTTTCCTAATAATTCCTGGCATTCCATCAGCTTTCCCTTGGGCAGACCTCCAACATTTTCACTGAGCAGTCTGCTATAACTCCAGGCTATGCTCCATAAGAAGAAGTGGCCAGTTTGGAGCCCATTATTCTGTGGTCCCTTAGGGACATTTTCCCCATCGCTTTAATGACTTTGAATTACATCTGCCATTTTATTCCCTGCGATACAGTAGAGAGCCTTCCTCAGCTCTTAACAGCAAGATCTCATTTTTACTGACTAGCTTAATATATCTACAATCAAATATTTTTGTCAACACTCTGCCTTAATAATTGTAAACAGGTTCTTGTTGGAAACTGAAAGAGGAAACAAATCTGACTATGTTATCTGCTCAGTTCAGAGGGTTCTGGTTAGCAGATTTCTCTGGAATTAGACCTATGCCAGACTACTGCAGTCCTGTAGATGGAGCAAGGTCTTGTCAGGGAGCAATTTACAAACTGAGAGACGTCACAGAGCCAGACTGGCAATTGTGCTCCTTGATAGAGACTTTTCTGGCTGCCACATAACCCTAGATGCCATCCAGCAACCTTGGGCCACGTCAACCTGACGTTCAGTCCCTGATCTGAGCCATGCTCGGTGGAGGTGTCAAAAGAGCAAGTCTATAGCCCAGGAAGCTCGATGGGTTTTATATAGCTTGGCTATATAAAGCCAGATAATTATTAATTAAGGAATCGCTGAAGCCTCCTATGTACAGAAAGTGAATAAGAGGTTAGTGCAAACAACCTACAGAAACCAGGGTGTGAACACAGTGAGCTGCCAGTCAGGCTGTGACATGCTAGCAAGCACAGCAGGCGCTGCATAGACTGCAGGTCTCTTCTGTTACATTTACTCACTTTGGGTTACTTTGAAAGAACCAAAAGTAGTAGTAGCATTATCATATTTAAGGCCATGGGGATTTTTTGCAGGTCTCACAGTGAGTAAACCCATCATGTGATTGGGACC